GCACAAATGGAGTATTTTCCCTGGCTGCAAACACCTTGCAGGAGGAGTATGTCCTAACTGTATTCTGTCCAGAAACACTGCTGTTGCTACACACACCTTAACAAAACCTCAGTCTCCTAACTGCAAACATTTACTTACATGGTGGTATGAATGAAAGTCGACCTTATACACTTAACATGTAATTATTAGTAAGGATGAATGTGTCAGATATCTTTGAAAGAGGAAATTATGTAGGAAGAGATTATGTACAAGCATTTATTGAATTTATATATCATCCCATTTGCTTAACTACTGTAGGTAATAGTGTTCACATATGAGCTTACTGTGAGATTTCTACCTGATTAAGGTGTTCAGAAGTGAAAAGAAGGAAAATAAAACATTCCTGAAAAAAAAAAAAAGAGGAATAATAAAAAACAATGGATTAGTAAAATATAATAAGAAACCAATATCCTGACTGAACTCTAATCTAACTATCAGTTTAATGTACAGCTACTATATTTTTTTTTCTGAAATAAGATTTTCTCTTTTCTTTTACTACCATGTAGTAATCTTAAACTATCTGTGTCAGTTAGATGCTCTGGAATGCTCCCAGTTCAATGTAAAACTTCTACTTTGTAGTTGACATACTGTAACCTCCCTTGTACATATTTATTTATTTGTGAGGTTAAAAATGTCAAATATACTTAGCTCTGTTACATCTGTTATTGTTTAGCTTCTGCTTCACCATAGAGAAAGAGTGAAATAATAATTTCTTTTATTTTTTTCCAAACATTTTGTGAAAAAATTACTGTAGTTCTGTATGAGGAAACATCACCATAATTTGTAATACTAGTCAGTGGAATATAGTGTAACAGTTTTGAAGATGGACGAAAGTGGAAAGAAACATTTTCAAGTAAACATTCTTGATGTTAGTGTACCAAATAATTAAAGTTTTCTTTTAGTAGTGAATGGTTGAATTTTTTTCTTTTCTCTTTTTTTTCTTTTTTTTAATGTTTAATGGCAAAAATTACTCAGTGGAATTCTGAAAAATAATCTTGTATTTATTAAACGTGTGAGATAGATACGTGTCTAGCCAAAATGTTGGAAATAAATATGCAAGAATAACTCCATTTTAGAAGAGGAATGCATTCTGCAGAATATACTTTTCCTTTTTGTTAATAAGTAGATGCCAGATCCAGTGAGTGATCAGAAAGTTTGGTGAGTTCATTTACTTATGGTAGAACTTGTGTCATAGCAAGAAAGGAATATCAAGGTAAGAGAAAATAGGCTGTGAGAAGTAATACAAATGAATAATTGAAAACTAGGAGTTCTTTCTATTCATATGCTTCTTTCTAGATGAATTTAGTCCTTCATTATGAATAATGTGATTTAATCTGTAATCACATTTTGACTAATTGCTGTTATAATGCTGTAGTCAGCTGATCAATTAAATATGCACACTAATATATAAACATTAAATGCAACTCTCTAATGTCCTACCTTTAAATATTTACACCTAAAGAACATGGAAACTCAGTGAAACATGTCAGAACTGCTCCCCTGTTACTCTCCTTGTACTTAAACCTTGCCCCAGAAATGCACAGTATTTGAAGTTTCAGTAATAGTCTTTATAAAAGGCAATGAAAGCAAAACACATACTATTAATATGGATGCATAGTGTGCCCATGGGCAGCATATCCATGCGTGTTTGTGGACAGTGAACACTGCCTTGGGCTCTCTGTGATTTGAATGGTGTGGGAGGGCCCTCTGAGAGAAGAAGTCCTGGTTTTTTCAAGCGGGATTTTGGCAGATACAAAACTTGTAAAAGTGATTTGCAGCATTTGAGGGTGGATTTATTTTTCTCCTCATTTCATCACTTTTTAAGTATCAAGAACAATTTTATTTTAGTCCTCTACTGTTAACAGCTTCCTACTGTAACCCATTGAGTTACATAAATGCCACTTCATTTTGTTCCTTTTGAGAGGCTGATCTATATTCAGACATGTCTATGTAACCACAAGGATAGCTACCAACTTACAGGACATCAGTGTCATTCATGGAGGTGTTACAAAAGATTTGTTTCACATTTTTTGTATATGAAGATGTATGACCATATATGGGTCAGAAAATGAGGCAAAGGTCTTAGAAGGTCAGGTAAATCAGTCATGCAAACCAGTCTGAGGAGCACTGCTGTGCTGAAGATTATCCCTCTCCTTAGCCAATCTTTGTCTACTTGTTCCATATAATTTGGAATGCTCCTGGCCCTGCCTTGGCACTCTCATCCTCAGGACATACATTTGCTGCAGTGCAAGAAAAGGGAAAAAAAAAAAAAAAAAAAAAAAAAAAAA